ATGTGCTACGTGATGCGAATGACAATAAAGAACCTTGACCTGACTTTGGCAGTTAATCTTGAAGGCCTAGTCTATGTTAGTCTGGATATATTTTAAAACACAGATTTTCTACTTTGCTTACTCCACTCTCATTAACATGCAAACAATGATTTTGTTTAAAAGAAAACAGATATTGTTAAAAAGATATTAAAGACATAAATAAAACACTTTGGTGTGTCCATGTTGGAGAAAAAATAGGATAGCAAACTATCTAGGACAATTCAATTGTTACTTTGTGTTCTAGAAACCACAGCAGAAAATGAATCCATTTTTTCTACGTCTTCTTCTTTGATGCAAAGCAAAGATGGAAACTGGAAATACCGTCCATCTGTCCTTCTTGTGCGTTTGATAACTAGGAAAATTTAAGAGGTACAAACTCCTAGTTTGATGTGTAGCTGAATCTAGGCATAAGAAATGTCCCTATCAAAAATGGCATTGCCACACAAAAATCCAAGATGGCTGCCACCACGTATGCTTATATGTAAACTTTGTGAGCTTGATAACGTGAAAAATAAGCAACATGCTTTCTTCCATTTTGGTGTGTGGCTTTTTCTATGCATAAGAATGGTCACTGTCAGAAAATGGGTTGCTACCTCAGAATCTATGATAGTCACCTCTGTCTATACATATTAAACTGGCCAGCTTGATCATTTGAGGAAACAATACTTTCTAGTTTTATATTGCTTTAAAGTACAATTTTTTCATTCAACTTTTATTTAGACATGTTAATCCCATTGAGCCTAAAGGACTCATTTACAAGAGAGACCTGAAATGTATTTATTTATTTATTGTATAATTTTCTCAAATAATTGGGATGGCCAATCACCAGAACCCATCACTCTGTGCCACCTTGATCAAGAAAAAAAGCCTACTTCTTTTTGTATACACAATGTCACTCCTACTCACTTAAATATCTTGCACCAAAAACATAAAGATTTACTGAACTTGCATTCCTTGTTCAAGTCATGACAAACACTCATCTCAAAAACTAAAAATGTTCACTACTCAAATCCCTCAGTGATGGGAGTCTTCGGCATACTGCTTGTTTTTCCTGATATTGTTTTCAGTAAACTGTATGCTGAGTATGATGAAAAAGTGGTCTGAAGAATCTTACCCGAGTTAAAGCTTGATCTGTAATCTTGTTTGTGTTTATGTTTCTCACCACCTACTGGCATGGCTTGATTATTGCAACATTTTTATTCGAATTATCTTGAATGTGTGCTTTTTTATATACAAACAAACAAAAAGAACTGATCAAAATATATGGCGTAAGTCTAATATGAGGAAACTTAATTATAATGATTGAAGCATGGACTTTAATTATGTTTAAAAATGACAAACGGTTCACCAGTAAACCAGCAAATTCCTCACATCATATTGTGAACAGGTAAAGTGAAGCTGATTGTTTTACTATAATAGTATATGTCATTAAACAATTTGTCAGGTTCTTGTCTTGTGAGCAGCACATTCCCAGGACACCTCCCAACCCCCAGCCGGCCCGCTCGCAATTTGTAGTCTAGCATTGATCAGTTTACAAATTAAGCCCTGGGAGCAACAACATGTCAATCAACTACAGTTGATGTATGTAGTGCCAAAACCTCTTTGATTTGCATGGAGACCTAAGGATCAAAGAATTGTTCTTTTATCCAAAGCACATAGAAGATTTGCTGAAAAATAAAAATTTTAGTAGGTGAGAGGTGTCAGAATACATAGGTCAGTATGAGACTGTAGCTGCAGCTTGCTTTAACTTCACATGTTCAACCCTTTCCACTTCCAAAAATGCCTACATGTGAGCATCTAAGCTGCATCTTGAAGTAAAGAAACCTGGTTTGATGATTGACTTTTTCTTCCACATCTTGTGAGATGCATTCTACAGGTTCTGTGTTAACTTGAGGGAGATGAGGCAGTATGATGAGATGATGCAATGGGAGGTGATGCAATATGGGATGACATTGAGCCACCAGAGGCTCACCAACGATCTGTGGGAATTGGCTTCATGCATAGTTTACTTTTATGTCTGTCTACTTAAACATTGTTGCAGTACAGTGCAGCTTTAAGTTTAGGATGGAATTACACTCCATAGTATACGGGCAGATTGGCTTAAGAACTTTTTACGGAATATTTTACCATTTTGGAGTACAACAAAAGTAGAGTATAAAAATACTTTTATTTTGGCTAAACTAGCTATTCATATAATATGTGCACCAGTTCCTCTTGTGAAGAAACTGATTATTTTTTATCAAATTAAGAAAAAGTACATATCAATCATCACCAGATGTGTTCTTTATGTTGACATGCATTTGCAGGAAAAGATTCCCAATCCTGTGATTCATGCTACCCAGGGTACCAACTATCACATGGGAGGTGTGAGTCTATGTGTGATCCAGGCCAGTATCCTCTTAATAAGGTAACACCTTTCAATGTTTAAATTCCATGTACTGTATATATTTTATTTTTGTTTTTAATTAAAATTATGTTTACTCAGCTCCTCACCAAAATAGCTGCTAACATTTTGGCCTCTCGTATCATATCATGTAATTCAGGTTGACTTATTATTGCACCTGAGGCAGTCTCGAACAGCACAGGGAAATTTATTTCAGTGACTCATTTTCTAAATAAATCTTCCAGCTCATGCTGGGAGGGAGCTGATTGAGACTGACAGGTACAGCATGCATGTTAATTGACAGTGAGGAGATACTGTTTCTCCATTTCATTCAGCCTCTAAAATGGAGAGTTATGGAAGCAAAAGATTTATGCATACTGTATATGTAATAACAAATAGCTAAAGAAAGCTGTACTGTAGCTGCATCTCAGCCCTCTCTGATTCTCAGCAGGGTTCAGACTTCACTTGTGAAGACTGTCATAGCTCTTGTCTGGAGTGTTGGGGGCCCGGTCCGTCCAACTGCACCATCTGTCCTGCTCAGGCCATCTTAGAAGCAGGAGGGCGATGTCTGCTGTGTTGCCGCCATGAAAAAGAAGGAAAGGACATTGACGTGCGACAGCAGGATTGTTGCAACTGCACTGAAACTCGAGGTTGGTTACAGAAGAAGCATGCTAATTAAAATACAAGCAGAAACAGGACTGTTTGGAAGGCTGGAGTAGTCTACAAATGAAACTTATCTGTCAGTAACATTGTTCTAGAAAAGAAAATCCATCCATCCATCCATTTTCTTTACCCGCTTATTCCATTTTGGGTCACGGGGGTCGCTGGTGCCCATGTCCAGCAATCACTGTGCGAGGGGCGGGGTACACCCTGGACGGGTCGCAAGTCCATCACAGGGCCACACAGAGACAAACGAGACAAACAACCATTCACTCTCTCACTCACACCTAGGGACAATTTTGAGTTACCCATCAGCCTAACATGCATGTTTTTGGACTGTGGGAGGAAACCGGAGTACCCGGAGAAAACCCACGCATGCACGGAGAGAACATGCAAACTCCACCCAGAAAGGCCCCTGGACCAGGGTTTGAACCAGGGACCTGCTCGCTGAGAGGCAGCAGCTCTACCAGTTGCGCCACCGTGCTGCCCTAGAAAAGAACATGACAGCTGTAATTATTTATAGTTATTTTTTATTATTATTATTTGATTATTTGCTTACAACTACAGTTTTGGGTTGATTATTTGGTTTGTAAAATGTCTAAAACAACAACAAAAAATACCACACTATTAAATAAGAAAACAATAATTTTTAAATGTGATGTCTTAATGAACCAGCAGGTTCTCTCTGCCTCAGTTACAGAGCTTGAATTTGATTGGCAACCATGTCCAAAAGCATCTTTATTTTTGCCAATTTGCAAAAACACAATGCTGTTTCATAGCATTTCATTTGTAAAATCAATTTTATCAAGAAAAACCCTGATTGAAAATTTCCCTCCAAAGAGAACTTTGAAAGTTGTAATTAATTAGATTTAATATTAAAAAAGAAGTTTTAGTTTTATCAAATAATCTACAGTAATATTAGACAAATGAATGTGTCAAAATAAAAGCATTATCTTCAACTTTACATCCAATTCTTTGTAATTATAAATGTTCCTTCAAAAGCCACAAAATGTGATGTTATTGTTAAGAAACCTTGGATTTCATTCAACAAACTGAACTTCATAAGTAAAATTGCTGGCATGTCTTTTTCACTCTTATAATCAAGTTCCAGTAAACACCGTCTCTTCCTCTGAAATAACATTGTTTCCTGTTTTTCTCTCCAGGACAGTGCATCCTCAGCTCAAACCTGCCATTCAGAAATGAGGAGGAAGAGGAGGCTAGAGGGAACCTGACCATCTTCATCATTGCTTCTGTCCTGCTTGTGTTGGGACTCGTGGCTGTTGGCTTCCTCATCAAACATTCCCGGTCCAAAAAAAACCCCTCAGACCTCCCTCCTCGTGGTTACAAGAAGCTGGGCTCCAGTGGAGGGTTAGGAAGTGACAACAGATACGGGGGCTACACATCAGCTTCTTCTGCATCCTACAGCGGCCGCGCCGGCTCCTCAGGAGGCCGATTCCAGGAGGCTGAGCTGGTTGACTTCTCTGAGCGCCGCTCAGGTAATAAAATAGATGATGATGAAGATGATGATGACGATGAAGACATTGTTTACATGGGCCAGGATGGCACCGTGTACAGGAAGTTCCGGTATGGACAGCTGGGGGAAGATGAGGATGAGCTGGAGTATGATGATGAGAGCTATAGGTTCAGATGAGCCATTTTAATGAAATGTAATAAGAACATCTTTTTTCTTCTAGTCATTTCTGTCATTCCCTCGTCTTGGCTGTTTGTCTCCCCCTGCCCTGAGGGAGAGCGTTCTTTTTCTTTCACTGATTCAGATAACACAAATAAGACATGATAAACCACATTTTATAACAGCTTTTCATTCACAAAATGAACTGTGGAGCAAAAATAAATCATGTCTAAGATGCCTAAAAGGAGGCATATTATCCTCCTGATTTACTTTCATGCTGGTTGTTTATTTTTTGTCCGATGTTCATATCACAAATGGTTTATTGTCCTAAAACCGCATTTAAGATTAGTTTAAAGTCTACAAATGAGTAAACATTAATTTAGCAACAGCTGGTAATATTTTTGTCGCTCTCTCACATTCAATAATTTCTATCAATGCAGATGGTTTCTGTTCATTTATTGTGTATTAACTGTGGTATAGATATTGTATAAAACATTGTTTACACAGCTCTGTTGTCTAAAGAAAAATACAAAAAACAGGTTGTACAATAAGCAGGTGTTATGTGTAAATATACTCATATTCTGCTCCGAGTACAGGTCCAAAATCAGCAGAGACATTTAAATAGGTTTTTTTTTGTATGTTTAAAGACTCATTAATTATTTTTATTTTTCATTTATTTAGAGTGAATCGTAATGAGAACTGAGATATCGGAGAGACGAGGATGTCTGTGTAGATTTAGATTCTTCTCTGAAGTTATGCAGCATATTCAGGGGTTTGTTAAGTTTTACTAAAAAATGTTGTCAAGCTCCGAGGGAAAAATATGTGCTCGAATGTTTATGGATTACTGTAAAAAAAAAACTGGTACTTTTAGATGGGACAAAACATTGAAAATGTGTTCATTATTTATAAACAATCATTAAAACAAACTAATTTGTAAATGTGATATAATTAACAGAACACTCTGGATATTCCCAACATGATATATTTTAAGTAATGTCTCTTAGAAATCAGCAATGTAAAAAGATTAAAAATATATATCACATCACATGAGAATACAGCTATTTGTTACTGAAAAACACTTTTGTGGGCTCGGTTTGTTTACAGTTTATTTTCAAAAGCTTTTTGTGATCACTTGATCACTCTTGAAATAATTTCTGGATGTTGGCCAATCAAACAAAGGTGCACCACACAGAGGCTAGAATCATTTTTCAACAGAGCTGACAGCATGAAATAAATACCACTTTTTTTGTTCAGAACCTGTAAACAAACTGAATTTGTCTCAGAATACAAACATGAAACTGGAAGTGAGTATAAATTCTCTTAAGGAATTTAACTATATTCAGCTTTAGTCTAATTATGAGTTCGTTTTCCTTAACCCTTTTGAGGCGTTGGACTTTAAAATCTTGTAGTCTTGTTTCCTTTTGTTGACTGATTTTTGTCATTAAATATATGGGTTTGTGAGTTGAACTTTAATTTGAATATGTGTTATCATGTTTAAGAAAATAAAAAAATCTATTTCAAAAGATTCAGTTGTAACTTCACAAGGCTGGCATAGAACAATTCACAATGCAGAAATAATTGTGACTAACAAATCTGACATGACTGAAAACAACAGTTAATCTATGCTTTTATTGAATCAGTATACATCAATGCTTAATTAATTTGCACATTTTCATTACACCATAGAAGTCTGGCTGTAAGAGGACCATCAATTTGTTTTTAATGAGAGGACATGCACTGATGTACACACACATGCATGTGAACACACACACACACGCAATATTGTGCTTTATTGAGGTCCCGTCATTAACGTAATCTAAGGCAGAAACTAAAAAAATAATTTTCAGTGTTTCAGCACACACACACACACATGCACACACACCCACACACACACACACACACACACACACACACACACACACACACAACTTACATAAGTTCACACTAGGGGCACATGTTTTAACTACCCTCATTAGGGGACACCCCTTTCTGAATGATTTAGAGACAAACTAGTAGGTGATTTTTGTTGTCCCCAATTGCCAAGGTGTCCCCAAATAACTGGCGCGTATGTTTGTTGAAGTCCCCAAATGGAACATAAACAAACGCACATTCACACACATGCACACCTGCAGAACAAGGCAAGAAAGAATTGGTGTCATTGACAGCTTGATTTAACGTTTAACTCGTCCCTGCTTTGTTTCAGATTGACATCTTAAAGTTTTTTGTAGGTTTATTCTCCTGTTTCGAGACAAGATTAAAGATCCCCTGCTTTGCTGCAAGTCGGTCATAAACTATGGCACAAGGTTGTTTTATTCCTTCTCCTTTTCTGCGTAAATGGCTAACACACAAATCACAGAGTACCCAGAAAGTGGTGATGTTATTGCTTTGCTGCTTCTCATGCACACAGTAGTTTCTAAAATGGATCTGTGCGCTGCACTTTCTAGAGTGTAATTGCATTTTCTACCCTAAAGTGAACATCAGTGTTACTCTGTTGATGCTGGAAAATATCACACCTGACTATTTAGTTTTCATGGCTGCAAGTGTACAACAGAGCAGATGCTACAGCAGCAATTAGGACTGAGCTGAGTGGGACTGAGACAAGATGTGCCTAAATAAAACTCTGGTGTCTAATCAACAAACACGCACACACACACAGGAGCTCCACTTTCCAGCTTGACCCATCCATTACAGGGACTTTTGAGCGCCAAGGTGTCCCATCAATTCTGGATGTTGGAGTTTACGAGCTGCTGGCACCAGCTTGGACTTGTCTGTGAAGATGGAAACACAAAGCATTCAGGACGGTTGTGTTTATGTATCAGTGACAGACTGTGGACACACAGCTGTTTGTCTTCTATATGTGAACTTTAACATCTTTGTGGACTTACGCTGTTCTGCTTGTTGTCATTAACTCGGTCCCCTGAAGAAAACTATTCATTCTTGAAGGAAAGGAACAAATTGAAATGTTAAGAGGAAGATTTACTATTGCAATATTCTTCAACATGGTGAATTTGAAGGCTCGTGCAATTTATGAAGCATGGCACAATTAGCCAATCAGTGATTAGTATGTGAAGTCCACAGCTTTGGTTTTACATTTATTATCGTTGTAATAGATCGCTGTGCAGTAAGGAGCGGCTCATTTATTTCACTGTGATGATAAATGAGATAAAAGCAATGCATTTAGCATCCTTTGCTATTTTTTTCCTCTCTGCACTGTAATTGGAACCAGAGCCAAATCAAATTGGTTCTCATCCAAGAGAAGTCTCTGATCTAAAAATGAGACATCAGATAAACGAGCGCTCCAGCCGAGGATAAAGCTGAGGCCGCTGCCTCCTCAGAGGAGGTAAAGAGAAGCAGAGGAGCCAACACTTACTTTGAGTTTTCTGCTGCTTCCTTCATTTCCTTGTCGAGTCTAGAGGTGGGAGTTCAAATACAAGGATGAGTATGAAGTCATTAGGACATGTCAGGATTGGAAAGAGTGGAGGCAGCATTATGTTTAAGGGCTTAGAGGGACTCACTTAATGATGCATTCTGGGATCTGGACACAATCCATTGGAATAATTTCCTTCAGTTCATCCAAACTGTGCACATACTTAATCTTGCTGCTAAACTTGGCACTGTCGAAAGAGAAGCATGCACATATTCATAAAGGTGTAATTGCAATGACAGATACATGTCGACAA